GGAGGGACACTATGGTGGGTACTAAAATGACACCAGGAAAATGAAGGACCCTGATAATAGTTAAAAGTAAGGCATGCATCACAGAGTAACTGAATACCTAGGCCATCCAGATCAAATCCTCTGTATAGGTTCCTGAGTGTGAATCACACTAGTCCAGATCCTGGTTACAGCTCAATCCCAATTGAGAAACAGAGGCTCCATCCAGACTCCACCAGTCCTCCAAGGAGACCCAGATGAACCCCTGTGCCACTACCTCCTTATGCTTCTCCACCTAGGGCAGAAGCCTCCCTCCTCCCCTTTACCAGAGAACTGGACACCATTGGCATCTACCCAAAGGCCTAAGAATTATGACTCTCTGCCCAACACAGATGCCCTCCCTGTGTCAGCAAACCTTACACCACTCATGAGGACTGAGAGACCTGAACAGGAGGGGAGATGGCTTTGTTCAGCCCAGAGGCAGCTACCCGCCTCCAGGTGCTCCTCCAAGAGACTAGAGGGACCCAGAATGTGGCACAGGATGACAGTGTAGAGGGAGGACAACCCATTTTCCACTGCCAGCCCTCTCCATCACTGACTTGGTTAATAGGAAACACCACACCCCCTCCTATTCTGTGAAACTGCAGGCTATGACAGACCTAGTGGTTTCTATTGTCAAACTCATCTTCCCACCTGGGGCCACAGCCACCAGCTCCTCCTAATCTGGAAGGGAAGACTACTGGAAGGGAAGCAAACGGATGAAATAGAAGGCAGCCCTCCTGGCAGTGACCCAGGGCTTCACTGAATGAAGAATGTCACTGGAAGTGGGCCTTGAGACTTTATTGCCTAGCCCCATTTCCTGTTTGCTCTCTGCTTCCTGAGTATGGATGCAATGTGACCAGTCAGCTTCTTGATCCTGTCACCACATCTTGCCCCCCAATGACAGACTATATGCCTCTAGAACTGTAAATCAAAATCAGCCCTTTCTCCCTTAAGTTGCTTTTGTTAGGGTATTTTTATCACAGCAGTGAGAAAGTAACTAAGACAGAGGGTCAAAGATGATTCACCTCAGTCAGAGCCAGTGGGCAGGCATGAGAAGAGTCGCCATGTGACGGCTCCATAGGCACTGATGAATGAAGGAATGGATGAAAACAACTTGTGCTGTATTTAAGGAAACATGGTTGGCAACTAGAATCAGCAACCAGATGAATGGTGTGCACAAAAAAGGGACACAGGGTCACAGTTGGCCTGTGATGCCCCTGAACCACCTGCTGTGCTCTGCTTCAGACTGGGGCATGAATTAGCAATTCGCTTATGCTAGCTAATACAGACCAGACATGGTCTCACTGGTGAATTGTCAACAGCAGGTCTTTTGATTATCTATGCTGAGCCAGGTTTGATTTGGCAAATGCTAAGTAATGGAGAAGGTGGTCCATGGGTGTATTAGTGTTTTTTACCCTGCCGTAACAGAATACCACAGCTTGGGTAATTTATAAAGAAAATAATTTTTTTTTTTTTTTGGTTTTTTTGAGACAGGGTCTCCCTGTAGCCCCAGCTGTCCTGGAACTCACTATGTAGACCAGGCTGGCCTTGAACTCACAGAGATTCACCTGCCTCTGCCTCCCAAGTGCTGGGATTAAAGGTGTGTACCACCACGCCCAGCAAAGAAAAGAAATTTATTTCTCACAGTTCTGGAGGCTGAGAAGAGTGAGAGCATGCTGATGTTAGGAGTGGGCTCCTGATCAAAGGATGAATTTGGCTCCAGTTTTCTGTGACTCTTGCTTCCCCAATATGTGGTACCCTCCATCATCTGATGATACAGGACCAAGGACCTCACCAGATGCTCACACCATGTTCTCAGGATGCCATATTCTTTAAAGACATTCCACTATCTGTCCGGCTATCTGTTTGTGACTCTATCCTGAGCCAACAGCTAGCAGGCACCACCTTTTCTGCTTCTCCCACAAGTGGGAAATTCAGTCCATGGTGGGCTGGAGAGCCATGCTAATGCACCCTTCCCTACACATTAGATATCATAAAAATCACTGACACTGGGGAGGAAATGTTTTCAAATCCAAGGCCTGATGTCCTCCAGAAAGAAATCATTTGGCGGCCACGTTTCAAAAACTTTTTATAACTTTTTATCAGGAGAACGGAAAACACAAAGTCATCTACTTTCAAGGAAAAAGCCTTCATTCAGTACATGCAAAGTATGCTAAACAGACCATGGTTTCAAATGATGGGATGTTAGGGAAAGAGGACGATGAGGTGGGAGTGCTGAGAAGGGTGGGAAAGACCCTTCTAGAATCCACTTCCTGTTGACAGAGGGGTCTCAACTGATTCTCAGCAGCATCTGCAAGGTGGACTCTAAGATTCCTACCTGTTCGATGATGAGGGATGGAGGATGAGAGAGGTTTAAGCTACAATGTTAAACACGGAGGCTCTGCCTCCATAGGCATCCAGGGCTGATTAGACAAAGATCAGTATCCTACATAGGGAAGCAGGCACTGGAGAGACTTCGAGTGGTCCTTGTCTGTCCTCCCCTGCCCCTTCTTGTAGTTCCTGGAGCCCTCTGGTGAACAGACAGACTTGGAGGGACCTCCCCAGGACCCAAACTTCTAATTTCATGAATTTACTGAGCCAATGACAGACCAATCACTTCCCCTTTCAGCCTGCCCCCTTATCTACGGAAGTATTTATAGTAGTTGGCAGGAAAGACTGACGAAGGGTATATGCCCTTCACCTTGGGTGCTAGTGTTTCATGTCAAATCCACCTATCATTTCCCTCTGGACCTCAAATTCCAAATCACAGGATGGCAACTACTTGTTACAGACACCAGTGGAAGCAGGGCAAACACCTCATCCAGAGATCTGTGGCCACTTGCAGAAAAGCACCAATAAGGCTGGCTAGAGACAAAGTTCTCACCAACCAGGGCTAAGTCTGTGTCCTAGTTTGTTTCTCCATTGCTGTGACAAAACATTCTGACCAATACCAACTTGGGGAGGAAAGGGTTTATTTAGCTTACATCTCACAGGTCACAGTTCATCTGGGAGCCCAAGTAGGAACTCAGGGCAGGAACCTGGACATAGAAGCTGGAGCACAGACCATGGAGGAACACTGCTTACTGACTTGCTCCCCTGGCCCCTTGCTCAGCCTGCTTTCTTATGTAACACAGGCCCACCTGCCCAGGGGTGGTCCCCCCCACATGGGGTTGGGCCCTCCCATATCACTCAATAATCAAGAAGATGCCCCTCAGACATGGCCACAGGTCAGTCCAATAGAGGTAATTCCCCAGTTGAGGCTTCCTCAACCCAGGTGTGTCAAGTTGACACTAAAGCTATCCAGCACAGTCTGGATCCCCTGAGCACATCTGGGATGCCTCCAGGTGACCTGAGGTTTGAATATTATTAATAAATTTTAGGATGGGCCAAGGATCTTCTGTAACAGAGAGCCATCTGACCCTAGGAAGGGACAAATGAGGTCAGGAGGTCTACAACCCCAGGGGCTTCTAACAGTTCAGAATATTGAGGAGTCCTTTCCAAGTTTGAGACGTCCAGCTCTGATTTCCAGCTCGAACAAATATGGAGCTGGATCAATCAATCACTGAGGAATCCTGATGTGCTGGTTAGTTTTTGTCAACTTGTCACAAACTGGAGGCACCTGGGAGGAGGGAATCTCACTTCCATCAGATTGGCCTGTGGACATGTCTGTGGGGCATTTTCTTGACTGTTGATGTGGGGAGGGGGCCTAGACCGCTGTGGGCAATGCCATGCCCAGGCAGGTGGGCCTGGGTCATGTAAGAGCAGTAGGTGAACAGACCAAGGGGAAGCAAGCCAGTAAGCAGTGTTCCTCCACGGTCTCTGCTTCAGTTCCTGCAGACTTCCTTCAGTGGTGGACTGTGACCTGGGAGTTCTAAAATGAAATAAACCCTTTCTTCCCCAAGTGGCTTTTGGTCATAGTGTTTATCAAGGCAATAGAAAAGCAAACTAGACCCTGATGGCCATGTGAAGTGGGGGGGGGGGGGGGGGGGCGGTGCCAGGAGGTAGGAAGGCACTCAAGTGGGAACTTGGGAGAAGGAGGTGCAACCCCAGCAAAAACCACAGAACTTATCCTGCTTCTTCTCAGCCTGGCCTGGAATAAACCTGCGACCCTTTCCTGCCCACCCACTACCTGCCAGCCTTTCCCATGTGCTAAGATCTTGTTTAGTACCTCTTTTTTGTTACTATGACAACAGGGGGCATTAGTGGAGATGTTGAGAAAGCCTGTGTTTGTTTCCATGGGGGTGGGGGGGAGGGTCCAGCCAGAAGGAAGGGGATTTAAAAACCAGAGAAAACCCGCATGACCCACTTGATACTGCGTGTTGTGAAACAGGAACCGCTTTGCTGGGCCAACAGGAACTCCAGCTAGCAGGAGGAGGGCCTTCCTACTTCGGTGTTGCTCCAGGTTACCCTGGGGCTCCTTTACAGCACGTTGTCCTTACGTCTCGACGCCACGCGGATCAGGGCGGCCTACCAGGCTGCCCGGTGCACAGCAGAGCCGGGTGGGAATCCGACCGCGGCCTGGCGATGATGGTGGCCTCACGGTTCTCTAAATGCACCGCAGGTCCAGGCGCTCCACGTGCACCCACCACCCACCCCTCTAGGCCCCGCCTTCCGGGTCACAGCCTCCCGAACCACCCCCTTCCGGCAGAGCTCCGCCCAGCCTCTCTCGGCTTCGCTCCACGTCCACGCCCCTGCACCGCCTCCAGCCCACCACCCGCCGACCTTCTAGGGGAGCTCCGCCCTGTTTCTTCACACAAACAAACAAACAAACAAACAAAAAAAGGGATCCCGGAAGCTCCTCCTCGCCCCTCTGGACCCCCCCACGCCACGCCCACTGCCCTGGCCCCGATCGCCCCGCCCTGTCTCTAGACACTAATCCTTTCCTGGCAGCTTCGCCCAGTCCCTCTCGGCCCTGGGCCACGCCCACCACCCGCCTCGATTGTCCTTCCGCCCAGCTCTATACTTTGTACGCACATTCTTACCACAGAGCTTCGTCCAGCCCCGTGAGTCCCCAGCCTCGCCCCTTACCCCCTACAATCGCCCCGCCCCCTGGGTCCTGAGCCACGCCCTCTTACCGCCCATCGCCCCGCCCTCCAGTCGCCGCACTGTCTAAACTTTCCACAGAGACTCACCCCGCCCACTGTGTCCTGGGGCCACGCCCTCTCCCTCCCCTACGATTACTCCGCCCTCAGACCGCCACACTCTAGCCCCTCTTTCCTCAGGTCCTATTCGCCCCGCCCCTCTGGGTCACATCCTCCCAGCCAGATGTCCACCACGCCCACCACTCCCAGAAGCCCCGCCCAAATCCCGCAGCCTCGCCCCTCTCGCCCCGCCCTCTCACAGGCGCGAACCTGGAGCCCCGCGCCTTTTGTGTGGAGCTTCGCGCGCGCGCTCCGTGCCTCAGCAGCCGCGGGCCGAAGGGCGTCCGCGCACGCAGTCCCTCTGCGGGCGGAGGTGCGCACGGCCCCGCGTGCGCCCAGCAGTCGCTCCGCAGCCCGTCGCTCGCCTGCGCGTGTCCCCAGGGGCCGCTGCCCGAATCTCCGGAGGACGCGCGCTCACTCCCGCCTGCGAGACCCCGCAGCTCACCCCCTTCCCGGGCCCGTCGGCGGGTCGCACGCGCACGCGCCGGCCGGGGCA